GCATTATTACAAACTTGACTTCCACAAATTGCTTCTATACTATATAACGGGTCGTTTATTAGTCCGTTGTGTGCCTTTCATTACCTCTAGATGTTTCGAGTTCAGTTTTCATTATATCCGGAAAATTGCTTCATTAACTTGGCTCCTAGAATTCGTTCCGAATTAAGTTTCCCCTCTATTTATATCGCAGGATGTTATAGTCGTTTTTACTACTGCCATTTAAACAGGATTTTAATTTAGTTTAATAATGGAGATCGTTTAATCTTTTCTTTTATATGTACAATTTTTTTTATTTTTTTTTTATTGCCTTTGCAGGCAGACGAGCATACGGCCCACCTGATGGTGAATGGTTACCGTCGCCCATGGACTTCAGCAATGCCAGGGGCAGAGCCAAGCCGCTGCCTATCGCTTAATACTCTCCACAAGCCTCGTTTGAAGAAGGACATGTGATAGCGCTCGGGAAACACCGTGGAGGGGAGCTCATTCCATAGCCGGATGGTACGTGGCAAAAAAGATCTCTGGAAACGCACTGTGGATGACCGCAGCGGCTCCAGGTAGTATGGATGAACTCTACTCCGGTGGCGGGCGGTGCGATGGTAAAAACGAGACGTTGGTATCATCTCGAACAATTCCTCAGAGCACTCCCCATGGAACATACGGTACAAAATACAGAGGGAACCGAAGTCCCTCCGCAGACCCAAAGGCTCCAAACGATCCGTGAGAATGGGATTATCGACAATCCGAACGGCTCTCTTCTGTATGGAGACAAATGGAAGAAGCTGGTATTTGGAAGCCCCGGCCCAGAGATGATGGGAGCAGTACTCCACGCGAGGCCGGACTTGTGCTTTATAGAGCAAAAGTCTTTGTCCAGGCGTAAAGTACCACTTCGCTCTGTTGAGGACTCCCAGCATTTTGAACGCCAACTTGGCTTTGCCTTCCAAATGACTCCGAAATTGGACATCGCTCGAAATGTCGATCCCAAGTATCCCGATACTCTCGGAAGGTTGCAGGGATACTCCTTGGAATTGCGGCGCAATGACAAAGGGCTCCTTCTTCGCAGTGAACGCGCAAACTTGTGTCTTTAATTCGGAGACTCGCCCCTCTACGTTTGTGTCTTTATAACATTCCATATAAGAAAATCGAATTTATTAGTTGCATGAAATATCTCTTAAATTTCCTCTTAGAGTCTCCAATTAATGGTGAAGACTTCACAAAAATCTTTTGAGAATAACCGAATATAGCATATTATAAATAAATAAAAAAACTGCGCCTTTATCTTCTAAGGTCTAAGGAATTGAATTCAACAACTTCTATATATTTATCTACCTAAGTTTTTAACTTAACTCCGCAATCTTCAGAATTAAAGTCGAAGATACATAAACTATAAAAATACTTTGTGACAGAAATATTTAATACTTTGCTATCTACTCGTATTCACAATATGTGCTACCACCAATGCACAAGAGATAATAAATAATAAGAAATAGTGGGAGGATTATGTAAAAAAATTAGAAAACTACTAAATACTGACCGGTTTTGAGGCCTTAACATTTAGTCCTACAAGCTATTTTCGTATAAAAACCAAATCTTAACACAATAGTTCTGGAAAAGTTAATGCCACCTACTTTAGCTCGATATCATTCCGGAAACAATTTCAAAGCTCATCAGCTTAACTTTGAACAAATTATTAGGGAGCCACTAAAAGTCCCCCATAGACATAGCCCACTGAGTTTCTCACCGGATCTTCTCGGTGGGTCGCAATTCCGATACGGTGTTAGATTCTGCGAAGCACTGCTCTTGCTTGTTTATATAGGTATTAGCAAATTATTTCAGGTTGAGCCTATGAGCTCACATACCCGTCTGGGCATATCTGGAATAGCCCCTGGAAAAGATAGGGGAAAAAAACTTCTAAACGTAAAACTTTACATGTGTATAATCTATCAAAAGATACCCTAAAAAAAAGTAAAAATACATTTCGTTTTATCTTGGCTTATCGAGGCAGCCCTAGCAGAATTTCGCCATTAGAATGAAGAGGCTAGGGGAACGTCGCTCGGAGGACGCTTTGTAAATAGTCACCGCAGTGCCTTCTTGCAGATTAATTTCAAGTGAGAGTGCATCGCGGCTGTTGAGACCGATCCGGTAGTTGTGTTGCGTTTAAGTTATATTTTGTGTAGTGCAACTGAACTCGCGGGGGTCGCTCGGAGGGAGCGAATGCATTTGTCGTGTTCAAATGATTACGTTCAAGGGGTGTCGTTTCATTTTCCATCGAGTGCTATTTACTAATTTCATGCTATCAGCGTAACTGAGAACTTTGTTTTCATATCGATTTGAAAATCTTGATTTAAATTAGTAATTCCATAATTTTCATTTAAATAAAAGCTTCAAACCTAAATTCGATGTATGTTTTAAAATTCTAAAATTCTCATTACCGCATGCTTCATTGATTGATAAAAATAACATTAGATTACAATTGTAGTCTGAAGGGTTTGTCCAGTTGTACATTTGCATACGCTAATCTTATAATTTCCTAAGCAAATCATAGTAAAGCAGGCACATGAATCTCACATCTACGTTAAGACATTAACCTAAAGTCCGTTGTGGTAGCGCCTGAGTTTACTGAGACGACAGCGTTGTGGCAAAAAAAGCGCTAACAGCTACTTCTCTGGAATAATAATACGCGTAAACTTTTTATGGTATTTGTATGCAAATGAGCGTACGGCCCACCTAATGATGAATGGTTATAGCACTGGTAGGGGTTCAATCAAGCCGCTGCCTACCACTGAGTTTTCTCCTAGTATGCCTATCGTGAAGAAATACACGTCATAACGCCCGAGAAAACCGTGGCCATTAAACACCGAGCCCACTTACTCGTAAATTAAATCAATTTATAGCGTAATTTCATCGTCGATGTTTCTTAAAACTTCGTTCAGAATAGAATAAATTCATAGTCAGTTACAGTTTGAAAAATCGAATGCTCGTTCGCTTCGCATCGAAACGTCCCGAAAATTATTTCCTATTAAAGATTTCGGGGCCCGCAAAAGCATTTTCCGAACACTTAAATTTATACGATTGCAAGCGAAAGATTTAGTGGGAAAGGGACGTGCGTGGCGGTTTTCTAAAACGCCGTACGTCTTCTTTATTTACGTTTACAGCTTACACCGGCCGGAACCGGTTCCGTATATAGTTTGAATCCGTTTATCGGATTTCGAACACGTTCCGGTGGAATCCCATATCGGCGGCCTTGATATATAAGCTTGTCCGGGCACCCTTATAAAATTACTGCCACGGAAAAGAATCGCAATGATTCCGCAACGAATGAGGATACAAGGAAGATATTCAAATTGAGAGCGTGCGGCCGGTTGGCTATACGAAGAGCCTTGTTAGTTATGTGCAAGAGATATGGAATCGATTGTTTATCATTGTAATTTGGGATATAATATATTGGTTAGAACGTGTATTGGAATTATTAAAGTTATTCTTAAAAATAAAATAATTGCAAAAAGTCCGATATCCACAGCATCAATATTTCAAATTGAAAATTTTACTAAATACACGTGAAGTGACAAGAAAGGCCTTAATGCGCAAATTCGTGAGGAATCTTTTTTTTTTAATTAAAATATTCGAGTTAATGCAGTAAAACATTAAGAGCCGTTGTAAATACAAAGTAAGTCCGACTAAAGTGATTTGACTTATAATCGATTTGTAGTCGACGGTGTAACGATAGAGATATTTTGTTTACCATACCTAATCCCTGGTAGCCCAAAGAGTTTTTCCAGCTAATCTCGGACTAGTAAGTGAGCTCACGGTCTCAACCTAAGAGAATTTGATAATACTGGCCCTAGCAAGAGTAGTGCTTCGCTGAATCTACCACCGGGTCGGAATCGCGACCACTCAGAAGATCCGACGAGAAACTCAGTGGATGGTATTCTATGGTGGAGATGCTTGTTGTACATTGCTGTCAAAGATAGACGATTAACCTTTTTTTTTAAATAAACTACGTAATTAGATAGACTACGCAATAGACTACGCAATTTGAACGCATTGTTGGTGCAGGGGTTAGTGAATACTAAACTGCAGAATACAGCGCAGTTTGAGATGGATTCCGACTAGATATTAGTCTAAATCTATGTGTGTCCCTTGTTCGGTATTTTCAGGCCGCTATTTTTTTAAATATTTATTGCTTAGATGGGTGAACGAGCTCACGGCCCATCCGGAATCAAGTTGTTAGTGCAACCCATAGACATCTACAAATTAAATGCGCCACCCACCTTGAGATATAAGTTCCAAGGTCTCAAGTATAGTTACAACGGCTGCTCCGTCCTTCAAACCCAAAACGCATTACTGCTTCACGGCAGAAATAGACAGAGTGGTGGTACCCGCCCGCGCGGAATCACAAGAGGTCCTACCACCAGTAAAAGTACTACCAGTAATCACGCAAATTATAATTTTGCTGGTTTGATTTTTATTACACGATGTAACTCCATCACCGTGGAAGTCAATCGTGAACATTTGTTAGGTACGTGTTTCATTACAAAAAATTAGTACCTGCCTGCGGGACTTGAACACCGTTACAGTCGCATCGTTAGATGCGATGTACCGGACGTCTTATTCTTTAAGCTACGACGACTTCAGATCTTGCTTAAAAGTCCTTATCAGTAGTGTGGTGACTTTGTGTGCTCGCTCGTCATATAGCCGATATCCAAATTTATAGCAAACCAAAAACATTTATTTGTTTGTATTCATCTCGAGCACATGCTTATTGTTAAGCTAATACCCAAAGTCATACATGTATGTATTAAAAAAAATCATTAAGGTCCGCAATTAGCACACGCCAGACTAGGTGTGGCAATTCACTTAGTATCTTTTCATACGTTTTTATCTAAGCAAACACTGATAACCTAGCTAGGTGTATTGTTTATCTCCCCGATAACCAGTTGCGATTCGATCGAGACCGTGAATGGACAGGGCTCGTTACGAAATATTGTTTTGTGATTGTTAAAATGGCTGGCGGACAAGGACCCGTGGTCGGGAAACTGGAATCCCAGATTTATTGTATAAAATACACGCTGTTTTGCTTCAACGTCGTGCTCTGGGTGAGTACTAATAGATTACATTACTACTAGATTACAGATTAATTTTTAAAATTGTTCAACCCTGAACATGTTTAGATGATAACGTACCACTTGGGAGAATAGTTTAAAATGATGTCCCAATTTTGTATAAGCGGTTAATTTGTATTTCAGTTTCGTTTTTCATTGATTTAAATTCACTTAAGTTATAGAAATATAAATTTATAGTGTTCTTAGTAAACTTATTACAGTGAGATATGTTGTAGAAAGTTTCTCTTCTCTCACTCAATATTTGGCTCAGGGATAGGAGAATGTCGGGTTTTGCAACGCACATACTTATTCAAATACAATTGGAAAAAAAAGACTAGTTACTTTGTTCGTAATAACAAAAGGGAACATTTTCATTCTCACGTTTACAGTACACAGCTTGTACTCATTTGTTCGAATGTCGTCCATTGTAAGTTTTACAAATTGTAAGTGGACTTTTCAGTTTGATTCCCTGAACATGTTTACTTCGAATAAAGTTGGATTGAGACCGACGCTATAATGCGTACTGTGGTGTAAATTCTACATCGAATGAGCGCTGCACGTGCTTCCGTTCGAAACTAGTTCCTAAGCTGATTACAATTGTAGTTTCAATACAAGTAGCTAAAGAAATTTCGAGAAAAATCGAGTAGACACGAAAGCTCTTCAAATTGGTGTTCTAGTTTGTTTTTTTGTTATTACAAATATAAGGAAAACGAAAAGGATGTGAACAATGAGACACATAAATAATGAAATATATAGTAATATATAATATTGTCTATATACTATATAGTTAAAATAGTGAAAGATCCAGTTGGTTTATTGGATATTTTAAGGGTGTAGACAGATAACGAACTCCCGATCCACCTAGTGGTATTAAGTCGTTCCGGAATCTTATAAGCAGCTCAGCGAGAATGATGCCACCCATCTGCTCGATTTCCATTAATTTTGAGCAAACTCAAAACATTACTGATAAAAAAGACTACAGTTCATTCTGCGTTCAAGAATAAATTTTAATCAAAATATATTATTATCTTATATTACCGAACTAATTAGGTTAACTGTACAATAATGGACCGAACATTCACTTCTAATATAAAAAAAAATACTTAGCTCCATTTCATCTCATTACTAAGTAGACATTAAAGAATTAAACAAAAATTTGTTCAATGAAATTTCGTCAAATCAATATGAATTTGATATAACACATGAATTAGCCTAAAAAGGGCCTAGCGTAAATAACGCGTTATCAGCTTACACTAACTGATAAGACTGTCCTGTTTTCCAAGTACGCGTACAGTCATACATTGAATCATGCATCAAAATAATTTGTTCATTCTTTAAGAGATACTTCCGTTACCTATTGTGCCTGAGCATTAAAAATTAACAAAAGGATTATACTAGGAAATTATAATGCATAAATAAAATAAAAATGGATCAAAAAATGGAAATAAGTATGTACATGCTCTGTGTATACTTTTGTATGACAGTAACAACAAAATCCACTCGACGTGTCTGTACAATCTCAAATAAGCCTGCTCCGATTAATAACATCACTTATCACCACAATTCATGTTCTAGATTCGTCGCCCACGTTTTTGTAGTTACAAGAACAAATTCGGTATAAGGAAGGTATATTATGATGAATTTTTAATAAGTAAAAATCTCAGCAGACAAACTTTTCTAGGATGTACCTTGTTCAGCAACTTATGGTGTTACATATTCTTTTAACATACCCCCGTACCTAAAAAATATTAAGAATTCTTCGTCATATTACTTTTATCACACACGCGGCATAGATACAACAGACACGGTGTAATATGTTGAACATGTTGACTTTTATTCATGACTATTTGATGTAAATTCTCCAAGATAATGACGGCTTACAAATTACATTGACCCACCATCGTATCGATCACTAGAGTACTTTCGTCGTTTCTATTTTTATGAAGAAGCATTGCAACGCGTTCCGGAACCAAAAGTTCCAATGTAGGAAGGACTCATTTTGTAGTAACTAAAGGTGACAGAGACAATACTAGATGCGCCGTGAGCACGTCTTCCGAATAAACTATGTCTCTTAAATAGATATTTTTTGTGTCAATTCATACATACAACAGTTTCCGATGCCCTTTTTCGTATGAAATCGTCTGTTTCTTTCTTCAGTTCTTTATTTCTGATTCTTACTTGCATGACACTTGACTCAACCTTTTCCTACATAATCGTAGCGCAACGTTGTAACGCCCGAATAGGGTCAAGGTAATTGTGATAAAACAAGAAACGAGATTATTATTATGTTTAATTTTAACAAAATTTAAATTCGACAAATTTATTTTACTTTTATTATAATTTTTTTTATTGCTTAGATGGGTGGACGAGCTCACAGCCCACCTGGTGTTAAGTGGTTACTGGAGCCCATAGACGTCTACGACGTAAATGCGCCACCCAGATATTATAAGTTATAAGGTCTCAAGTATAGTTACAACGGCTGCCCCACCCTTCAAACCGAAACGCATTACTACTTCACGGCAGAAATAGGCAGGGTGGTGGTAGCTACCCGCGCGGACTCACAAGAGATCCTACCACCCTTTTTGGTAATTTACTACGTGTTAGTATACTGAAAATACATTATGTTTTTTAGTTAATCATCTCGCGCTGGTAATTAAAATGATAATTTTGCATTTCTGTCATTCTTTGTTTTTATCTTGTTGCCTTTTATCGATTTAATAGCATGTTTGAATTTTGAATCATGAGTAATTCTCAATCTAATAATAAAAATTAAAATCGAAAACCTGTTTTAGTAATGATCCCTACAGGGGAGGAAAATGTGTTTCTGGAATCGCTATCCCGAAGCACTTTTGTTATGAATTTGGGTAACATTAGGATTTTCTCTTTTTGATACTTTTTTTTTATTGCTTAGTTGGGTGGACGAGCTCACAGCCCACCTGGTGTTAAGTTGTTACTGGAGCCCATAGACATCTACAACGTAAATGCGTCACCCACCTTGAGATATAGGTTCTGGTTCAGGTAAAACGTAAAAAGAGACACATAATAAAGTGATATCAAATTCATATTAATTTCACGAAATGTTACCTCACAATTTTTTTGTCCATTTTGTTACTATTTATATAATAATGAGCTGAAATGGAGCCAAACATATTTTTTTAATAATTACTTAGCTTGCGAGTAAATGAAATATCTGTTCCGTAATGTTCCTGTTCTTATCTATACAATTCGAAATATACTAGTCTAATCCTGGTATAACACGCTTAATTAACAAAAGCAAGCTATTGAGAGGGAGCGCGCGGGACCTGAATTTGGTGTAAAGGGATTTAGCCGACACATTAATCAGTGACTCAGTTTACTTCGAACATGTTCCAAAACCAACTTGTGTACTAAATAAATTGTCTCACTATCCGGGAGATGGCCTCCAGTAATTAAATATTGAAACGCCTTAACCACACTTGGCAAATATGCAGTACAAACTCCAGATTAACATAAAACTAATAATAGTAATCAAGTGCGGTATAAGGTGTCCAAGACTTTAAGCTTCGTCAGTCGACTTGAGCGACGTAAATTATCTAACAACTAAAGTTAGTGGCAAGTTACAGACATTAGGCACACGTGGCGGCGGCAGTAAATCGCGGAGTCGCAAGTTAGCAGCCCGCAAGTGCTGGCCAACGATGGTTATTAAGTTATGTTTATTAATTAGATAGGTCCATTGAGAGTTTGGGGATAAGATAAACATAATTAAAACCACTTTTTGACTTGAATATTATGTAACGGATGTTCAATATCGACGAATTAGAAGTCGTCGTAGCCTAAAGGATAAGAGGCCCGGTGCATATGTGTTGAGCGATGCACTGGTGTTCGAATCTCAGGCGGGTACCAATTTTTCCAATGAAATACGTACTCAACAATTAATATTCACGATTAACTTCCACGGTGAAGGAATAACATCGTGTAATAAAAATCAAACCCGCAAAATTATAATTTGCGTAATTACTGGTGGTAGGTGCTCTTGTGAGCCCGCACGGGTAGGTACCACCGCCCTGCCTATTTCAGCCGTGAAGCAGTAATGCGTTTCAGCTTGAAGGGTGGGGCAGCCGTTGTAACTATACTTGAGACCTTAGAACTTATACCTCAAGGTGGGTGGCGCATTTACGTTGTAGATGTCTATGGACTCCAGTAACCACTTAACACCAGGTGGGCTGTGAGGTCGTCCACCCATTTAAGCAATAAAAAACAAAACAAAAGGAATAACACCTCAGCCGCCCGTATCCAAGAAAGGAAAGAAAAAAACGCCAATAAAAACGCAGTATTAAACCAAAAAAGTGGTTTAAATTAAGTCTACGTCTCGCGAAAATCGAAAAAAATACTAGAAGTTAAACAATTAGACAATCAAAGAGTAGAACGTAACTAGTGATGGGATATACGGATAGGTACAACCATGCTGACTATAACTGCTCAGAAGCAGACGTACATTAAAATTTAGAGCATGGAACAGCTGTCAAATAATACAAGTGCTATTTCAACCTCATGCTTCCGCTGTTGAATGGCTTTGAAGCCAGTTAAGACCGATTCGAGGTTGTTTTTTAACGGCTATTGAGCCCGAAAATTTTTTCATTGGCATGTTTATATGTATTATTAATGGCTTAACATATCATATAAATCCTCTGGTCTAAGCCATAGAGGTCTTTAGGCTATGATCTAAAATGGACAAATAAAATAATAATAAAGTTGTTTGCCTTGGGCAAACTACACAACTTAAGGGCACTGAAGTATCTTATCGAAATCTGCGAAACACTAATATTATTCGACTTAGTGTAAACGTAATTAAAGGTGAAGGAACTATCGATTCATCAAATATTTATTATATATTTTTTCTGCTATGCTTCCCTCCTATCTAACAAAGACCATTGAAAGCTGCTGGTAATGCAATTTAAGAAAACCACGTCTCTAACATTTGATCTTGCAAATACTTCTCTGCATAAGTCTTAAAA